AAACTTTTTTAACTTCAAAGTATGTAAGTCTGTTTAACTTCTATCGTACCATTACGTAGCCAACCGCGCTAAGCGTAGGTGCGGGGGAAGGACAACAAACTAAGCGCAAAAAAGCAGTTCTAATGAAATGAGTTTTCAGCGTAGATTTGAAAGTGCATAGCTCCAGTGGTGTCCAAATAATAACGAAGGCCCTTGTACATTTCTTGATAATTTTTCGCAATTAGAACTTTAAAACCCTGCAATTAAAATAGTGAAAAGGTTATATAGTCTACATAACCACACCTTTTATCACATTCGTTTTGTTTTCATTTGTAAATGCCCAGCCACACAGGTGTGCCACAAGTTCTGCTCTAAACGTTTGGACGGTCAGTCGGTCAACTATGTGATGAGGGAGGGAATTCCACGGCATCGGGCGAGAAATCGATGTACGAACTGACCTGCATTGATCAGCGTGGTGAAGTATGGTAACAAATAAATAAATACTCCTAGGCCAATATTAAAGTGAGCAAGCCTCCATACAGCAGTTTGAGTTTCCGGTAATGCTTTGACCAATTTGGCCGATATTCAAATGAGTCTCCCCCTTAGTGATGGGACACTTGGGACAGTTCGGAGATAATGTGTAGTGACATAAGAAGGGAGGGGCTGCTGGGGGCTCTGGGACCCTGGGTGGGCCAGACGCTTAAGTCTCTTGGCACCAGGCGTTGGGTTCTCAGGCGGGTCCAGACGCTTAAGCCTCTTGGCACCAGGCGTTGGGTTCTCAGGCGCTTAAGCCTCTTGGCGCCGCCAACGGGAGGGGGGCTCTGTGTGTGCTCTGTGGGATGTCTGGTGGCGCACACGGCCCCACCCCTCGTTGGACCAGGCATAAAAGGAGAGCTCCCTGGACGATCGGGGCCCAGTTGTAACTCAAGACCCAAGACCCAAGACCCACGACCAGCCATCTGAAGACCCTGGGATGCTGTGAGAGCCAGTGGTGGGACTCTGGAATTCCCGACTCTACGACCTTGTGAGGGCGAGTTCCAGAGCGTAGCCAGAGTAGAGTATCTAGGCTGTGTACCTAGGCTGTGTACCTAGGCTGTAACAGAGTATCAGGACTGTTGGAGAGTTGGACTGTTGGAGAGTTGGACTGTTGGAGAGTTGGACTGTTGGAGTGTTGTATTGTAATAAAGAAGTTACCTCTACAAGTGTCTCTGGAACCCGTTACATTTGGCGTCAGAAGTGGCTATGGAGACAAGAAGTAAGCCACGTACCTTCAGTCCTGACGGCGATGAAGAGGAGCAAGCAGCGATGGGGCGGCCAAAGCCGGCCGACAGCGACGCTGCACCGCCGGCCGACAACAACGCCGCACCGCCGGCTGAGCAGCTGTCTGCTCCGCCGACCGTCCCCTCTCCAGCGTCGGGAGCAGGAATGGAGGAGGCGCTGCTTCGCCTCGCAGAGCTGCTCTGCGCCACCGCCTCCCTCCTGGGCGAGATGCGGTGCTCGCGGCCGATGGCGGGAGGGAGAGAGGAGGCGCGGCGCTCGCCCGAGCCCGCCGCCGCCATTTCCGCCACCGGCATTCCCCCCACGGATGTGGGAGATGCTTCCGGGTGTGTCGTCACTTCTGCCGGGGGAGCAATGACCGCTGGGAGCGACGTCACTTCTGGGCTCAGCGCTGTCCAACTTAGCAACGCCGCGTCATCAGCGCTGCGTCCCTCACCGCCGGGTGACAGCTGTTTGCAACCTAGCAACGCTGCGTCATCAGCGCTGCGACCTTCACTGCCGGACGACAGCTGGCTTCAACCTAGCATACCGCGTCATCAGCACTGCGACCGGACAGTGAGGGCACCATTCTTACTGTAACCGGCGCTGGGACCGGCACAGCGACCGACACGCTGGTCGCCGCCTTTGCTGCTCTGGCCAAAGGTTGGAGGTCGGGAGACCAGGCCCCTGACACTTCGTACATTTACGCGCTCCGGATTAATGATTTTTTTGTTGATATTTTCTTCGTTGTCGTCGGGGAGTCGTGACTGTTGTTGGGTAAACTGTGTGGAGCTTCGCTCCAATGTATGGTTTGTATTGAGCTTAGTTCGTGATTGTTAATGTATAGCTTGTGCTGTCATTGTTAACGATGTATATACTGTATGGGGCATTTATCTTGAGATGGTGACATGCTGCCAAGGATTTGGAATTGTCATGCTGGCTCTCAAATATCTTGGGGTGCAGATCCTGACCAGGATGGCCCAGCGGGTGTTGCGTGTCTAACACGAGAGTTGTGGTCCCGTCATGCTATGGCTGACGGCTTGACCTGACAGCCCGGAGATAGAGACACTCCGTGGCATGTCTAGCCTAGGGGGCTGTGTGCTCACATGACTCGGAGAGTGTGGTCCCGTCATGCTATGGCTGACGGCTTGACATGACAGCCCGGAGATTGAAACACTCCGTGGCATGTCTAGCCTAGTGGGCTGTGCGCTCACAGGGCTCGGAGAGTGTGGTCCCATCATGGAATAGCTGATGGCTTGACCTGACGGCCCGGAGGTTGAGACCCTCCGTGGTGCGTCTGGAGCAGTAGGCTCACCCTGACGGCCCGGAGATTGAAACACTCCGAGGTGTGTTGAAACAGTGGGCTGGAAATTCGTGGTGTTCAGGTGTAGTTGTCCCGTTATGTTGGGACTGTATCCCTCAGTTGTTAGGGTGCATGTTGTGCAGGGAGTGAACGATGGGTCGTCTCAGATCAGTCGGTACAGCTATATGCTGCGATGCGAGTCTTGGAGAGAGATTGGGTCTCAGCTCGGTCGGTACAGCTATATGCTGCGATGCCAGTCTTGGAGAGAGATTGGGTCTCAGCTCGGTCGGTACAGCTATATGCTGCGATGCGAGTCTTGGAGAGAGACTGGGTTGAAGTTCCCCGATATGGCCGACGCGTGCTACTGGTTGTGATGCCGCGTCGGAAAGGCGGTGGGGTGGTAACACGGAAATTCCCCCCCGATATGGCCGACGTGCGCAGTTTTAGGATGGAGGCGCCAGGTTGGAAAGGCGGGGGGTGCTAACGGTTGACATGTAATGTCGGTGGTGGTCCTCATTCAGGGCTGCTGGGACGCAAGCACGGGATGCCTTTTGGAGATGCGGTTCGCGCGTGCGGCCACCATTTCTGGGCAGGAGCAGGCAGATTTATTTTGTTTGTGTCATGTAAATTTTATATATATTTAAAAATGTAGATACTGGAGCAGCCCTGAAGTGCGACTTCTTTGCCCAGTACATGGGTCGACCCTGAAGTACGACTTCTCGACCCAGGACGTAGACAGACGTCCGGATTAGTGTGTGAAGAGGGATGCTCGACATGTTGGTCTTCACCTTCTCACCACCTGACGGATGGGAGGTTGGCAGGGTGGTGTGGAACCCTGCCATCCATGCGGTGGTTGTGCATCCAACGCGTCGGAATCTGTATATTTGTTGTTATTAATTCCCCGTTTTCTATGCGGATCCCGAGGAGGGCTAGGTGTGCCGCGGGTCGTTTGTTCACGTGTCATTGCTTCACCTTTTTGTTGATTGATGCTTGTGTAATAACAGCCATAGAGGGTTCACGTGGGGATTGGCTTGCCGGTCCTGCTTTGTAGCCAATAAGGGTTGAGACAGAGAACATGGCCTCTGCGTGATTGCGGCGTGTTAGCAGGGGGGAGTGGCCTGGCCATTCGGGGCCCCAGCTAATGGGGAGCCGGATCAGAGGCGTGGTCCCGGGATTGACAGGGAACCATCGAGAACGGTGAATGCTGTCTACGGAGGATTGGCTGGGGGGTACCACGTGACGAAGGGATTAAGAGAGAGAGAGAGAGAACGATCGAGAGGAGACTGGGGAACGAGCAGAGCAAGAGCCACGCGCGTACGGGGGCTCTGGGTGCCACGTGCGCGGTGGGAACTTGGTGTGAAGTCTGCCTGCTCTCTGTTGTCTGCCAGCAACGGAGAGTGTGTGAGTAAAGTGTATTGTGGAAGTGGAAATAAAAAGGACCGATTCCGAAGCCGTCTCAGAAGGATTATTACACTTGTATATAGTGTAGAGTTGTACAGGTTGGTTATGGTATTTATGGTTGCTTTCTTGTTCTCTTTTCTTTTCCTGTTGAGGCTCGCGTATTTTTTTTCTCTCTCTCCCTTTCGTTAATTTAAACTTTCTAATTATTGACAGACGGGACGGCTGGAGGCTACATAGAGGGGGGTAATGTAGTGACATAAGAAGGGAGGGGCTGCTGGGGGCCAGACGCTTAAGCCTCTTGGCACCAGGCGTTGGGTTCTCAGGCGGGTCCAGACGCTTAAGCCTCTTGGCACCAGGCGTTGGGTTCTCAGGCGCTTAAGCCTCTTGGCGCCGCCAACGGGGGGGGGGGGCTCTGTGTGTGCTCTGTGGGATGTCTGGTGGCGCACACGGCCCCACCCCTCGTTGGACCAGGCATAAAAGGAGAGCTCCCTGGATGATCGGGGCCCAGTTGTAACTCAAGACCCAAGACCCACGACCAGCCATCTGAAGACCCTGGGATGCTGTGAGAGCCAGTGGTGGGACTCTGGAACTCCCGACTCTACGACCTTGTGAGGGCGAGTTCCAGAGCGTAGCCAGAGTAGAGTATCTAGGCTGTGTACCTAGGCAGTGTACCTAGGCTGTAACAGAGTATCAGGACTGTTGGAGAGTTGGACTGTTGGAGAGTTGGACTGTTGGAGTGTTGTATTGTAATAAAGAAGTTACCTCTACAAGTGTCTCCGGAACCTGTTACAAATGCATTCCAGTTTCCAACCTGACTTGGGCTGCATTATTCATCAGTCCTCAGACTTTCCTGAGCAAATACAACTATTGTTTTTGCTGTCAGGGTAAAAAGCACATTTGCATGTTTGTAGAGAATGACTTTTAGCGCTGGTTAGGGTCTCCCGAGTTTCGGGTAACGCTTTGACTAATTTGGCCGATATTTAACTAAAAACGTAATTATTATTCTCATAGTTGTTGCTGTTGTTATTGTGGTGCATTTAGCGGCAAAGAGTAGACTCACGTTCTCGCACTGCTTGCAGGAGAAGCCCTGCAGCTTCCTCCGCTCGTCTTTATTCCGCACCACATCCACGTACGCAAACCCGGGCTGCTCCGCGCCAAGTCTGTACAACCACCACCAAAGACAAAGATCCCCCTCGTATAGCCTTTCCCAGGATTTTGAGGCAAGTACTGTTAGCGAGCAGCACATGTGAAGGCTGGTATGGCACAAGAGGTGGGGGGTGGCTAACACTACGCCCGGCCGTATTTTTCTCCCCAGTTGCGATGTTTATACACCGCACCAGGTACTCATTGAGGCTGAGTCGACCTAGGGGAGTCCTAGGACCGGTTCAGATAATCGTCACTGGTGTTGGCCGTGAGCAGGAATCCAACATCGGGTTGCAGAGTTCGTAGCACCGGGCGCTAACAGCTACACTACCACAACCACCATCAAAGAGTAATTCCTGCAGTCACGAAAGCTTCAAATCTAGTTTGAACCACCATCACACCACCACATCCTTATCACCACCACAGCTATCAACACCACCACCATTACATAAACCGCCATTTGCCACTAAGTGGCAGTGACATCACCATGGCGCTTGTGCCAGGCTAGGTCAAGTCATCATTACATCACCACCACAATCATCACCATCATGACCACCTCCATCAATACCATCACCAAAACCACCCCCCCCAATCATCCCCGCCAAGACCACCTCCATCAACATCCCTACCACAATCATCATTAACACCATCGCCACCAACACTAAAACAACCAGTTCCGCCACCAACACCAACGCAATTACCTCCATCATCACTGACACGACAACCAGCATGACTCGTATCGACACCAGCACCACGTGTGCTATACTCAGCAGCTCGGCATGAGATGTAATATTAGACAGGCAATGACTTGTGTGTAGTCTCATGCCAGACACAATCCCAGCAGCTCACCTGCCACCTGCGCCCACCTCCTGCCCACAGCCCTTCTGTGTTGGCGCTTTGGAACACGTGGTGTCTAGCCGATCCGGGCTGTGCGCAGCAGTGGAGATTGGTCGTTTGGTGCTGTGAGCGGCAGCAGTTGTAACTGGCTGATTGCCGCTGCATGCTTGAGCGTTGGTCGACTGGTTGGGGTAGCGTGGGTGAGCGATGGTCGGCTGGTCATTGCAGCGTGGGTGACCGGTGATTGGCTGGTCATTACTGTGTGGGTGAGCACTGGTTGACTGTTCATTTCTGCGTGGGTGAGCGATGGGGGGCTGGTCATTACTGCGTGGGTGAGCGATGGTCGGCTGGTCATTGCAGCGTGGGTGAGCGATGGAGGGCTGGTCATTACTGCGTGGGTGAGCACTGGTTGACTGTTCATTTCTGCGTGGGTGAGCGATGGGGGGCTGGTCATTACTGCGTGGGTGAGCGATGGTCGGCTGGTCATTGCAGCGTGGGTGAGCGATGGTGAGCTGGTCATTACTGCGTGGGTGAGCGATGGTGAGCTGGTCATTACTGCGTGGGTGAGCGATGGTGAGCTGGTCATTACTGCGTGGGTTAGCGATGGTCGGCTGGTCATTGCAGCGTGGGTGAGCGATGGTCGGCTGGTCATTACTGCGTGGGTGAGCGATGGTGAGCTGGTCATTACTGCGTGGGTGAGCGATGGTCGGCTGGTCATTACTGCGTGGGTGAGCGATGGTGAGCTGGTCATTACTGCGTGGGTGAGCGATGGTGAGCTGGTCATTACTGCGTGGGTGAGCGATGGTCGGCTGGTCATTGCAGCGTGGGTGAGCGATGGTCGGCTGGTCATTACTGCGTGGGTGAGCGATGGTGAGCTGGTCATTACTGCGTGGGTGAGCGATGGTCGGCTGGTCATTACTGCGTGGGTGAGCGATGGGAGGCTGATCATTACTGCGTGGGTGAGCGATGGTCGGCTGGTCATTGCAGCGTGGGTGAGCGATGGTCGGCTGGTCATTACTGCGTGGGTGAGCGATGGTGAGCTGGTCATTACTGCGTGGGTGAGCGATGGTCAGCTGGTCATTACTGCGTGGGTGAGCGATGGTGAGCTGGTCATTACTGCGTGGGTGAGCGATGGTCGGCTGGTCATTACTGCGTGGGTGAGCGATGGGAGGCTGATCATTACTGCGTGGGTGAGCGATGGTCGGCTGGTCACTGCAGCGTGGGTGAGCGATGGTGAGCTGGTCATTACTGCGTGGGTGAGCGATGGTCGGCTGGTCATTACTGCATGGGTGAGCGATGGTCGGCTGGTCATTACTGCGTGGGTGAGCGATGGTGAGCTGGTCATTGCTGCGTGGGTGAGCGATGGTCGGCTGGTCATTGCAGCGTGGGTGAGCGATGGTGAGCTGATCATTACTGCGTGGGTGAGCGATGGTGAGCTGGTCATTACTGCGTGGGTGAGCGATGGTCAGCTGGTCATTGTTGCATGGGTGAGCCATGGTCAGCTGGTCATTACTGCGTGGGTGAGCGATGGTCAGCTGGTCATTGTTGCATGGGTGAGCGATGGTCGGCTGGTCATTGCAGCGTGGGTGAGCCATGGTCAGCTGGTCATTACTGCGTGGGTGAGCGATGGTCGGCTGGTCATTGCTGCGTGGGTGAGCGATGGTCGGCTGGTCATTACTGCGTGGGTGAGCGATGGTGAGCTGGTCATTACTGCGTGGGTGAGCGATGGTCTCCTGGTCATTACTGCGTGGGTGAGCGATGGTCTCCTGGTCAGAGCTTCGTGGGTCAGCGATGATCTTCTGGTCATTACTGCGTGGGTGAGCGACGGTCGACTGGTCATTCAGGCAGAAGGACACGTACTCCTCTCCATCACAGGTTCTGTCAAAGAGGTCGTCCAGGCTGTCATTGCAAATGTACGTGGTCTCTCTGCCTGCACGACAGATAAAACAATAAAAACAATCACACTTTGCCCCTCGGATGTTTGTCCACGCAGTCGACATTCACGGAGCTGTGCCCAACTGCTCACTCTGCTGTCATACAAATAAGGTGGTTATCGTGTTGCCCTCTGAACCCAGCGACCCGAGTTCAATTCCCGGCTGTGTCTAAACATCGGTCCTGGGCCCTTCACCAACGCTGACCCGCAATACTGACCAGCGTGGTGAGCTTGGTCCAACAGCCACCGTGACCGTGATGGCACTGGGTGGCGGTTATCCGGCAGTGGACTGGCAAAGGAAGGGCTCTACAGCGGATGGGGCTAACATACCGGCTGCGGAGCCCTTGCGGCCACTGCTCGGGGTTGTAGGTGTCCAGCAAGCTGCCTGTTGGACAGGGCGCCTGTCTGCTCGGGAGGACGTCACCATGGCGTCGCCGCCGCCGTCGTCGTACCGCCCTATTGCACCGCTGTGCCTCAGCAGCACGCTCTCGTTCACAAAGGTGCAGTCCACGCTCAGGTCCTCCGGGCCATGATTGTCGTCGTTGCTGCTGTCTCCATCTCTCACATCTGATGCACTTCCGCCAAAACGGGGGCTTCTTGGAGCCTTGAAGATTGAAAAGTGCAATATTCAGATGTCACTCGATTCACAAAAAGGGATGTGGCCATGAAAAAACATTACGATGAAAACGAGAGTTTGTGAATCGGAATGGCTTTCCCCATTAATTTGGTACTAAAAGTTAGGGATGTGTTTCGGACAGTCATTGCAACTCTACTCCTAACCTAAAAATATATACACCTGTATCAGTCAGAATATTTATTGATAATGCGGGAGGAAATCCGATGAGCGTTACGGCAACAAACAGACCTACACACGACGATAGGAGTGAAAAGTATAGGAAAGGTAAGCAAATCACTTAAAGAGGTACCCACACTTTACCACACCGCACACAACCTGACGTTGATCGACTGTGCTGCAACCCATTTACCGTGTACCGGTAGGTGGACAGAGGCGGGCGGGCGGGCGGGCGGTGGAGACGAGGGGATGTTACAACAATACAAAAAACAAAATCACTTTTCATAGTAAAACATTTTTAAAGAATGTAAATATTACAACGATCAAATCATTAATTAGAAGTTAAAATAATTAACCTTTCCAGGAATGACTGGAAAGGCGACGCGAAGGCGGTTTGGGGACACAGCCTACCGGGTGGCTTCTCGCCCGACGATCTCACGGCGCGAGCGTGGCTATGGCGAAGTTTCGTCCACGCGGAAGTTCCGTTGCGTCAATTGAGCAGCGTCCGGAAATTGGTAAGTGCGTTCACGGGAGACCTCGCGCTGCGTCTACCTGTGCCGTCGGGCTGTCCTCATCATACTGGGAGAGGCAAGCGGAGGGGTCAATGCGCCACAGCATCATTTCGGCCCCATCGGTATCCGCCGCCGGAGTAGCAGCTGCGGCGCCTGGCACAAGCGAGCCACATACAGAGCGAAGCACGGATGTCAAATACAGGGGGAGGGGGTGGGGTTACACTAAACATGCCACACAAAGACCACGCACAGACCACATGCACACATGCCACACACAGGCCACACAATATGGCAAGACCCAAATGGCAACACAACTTTTAACTAAAGTTGAATTAATATTGGGTCATCTTAAACAGTTATAGTGACTCCCTCCACCCCCCTCCGCCAGTAACAGACAGATGGACAAATCTAATGCATGAATGCTTTCAACCTTAGTAGCGAAGCTATTAACTACTATATTTATTTTACCAGGGTAAGGCCCAATGAGTAATATAGCTTGGTTTCAGAAGCGACCTGGCCATAGATGATAGCTCAATGAAGTGGCTTATCGCGTAGAAATTTATAGCAGCCAAATTCTAAAAACGCGTGATTTTGATTGTAAATGTGGATGGAAAACCCGGAGGACCCGGAGAAAAATCCACACGACCACGGGGAGAGAGAGACACCGCAAACTCAAAATATACAGCAGATGTCAGGGTCGGGATCGGACCCACAACGTCCTGTATACCAGTCGAGGTAGTTAACATCTCTCCACTGTTGCACTCCACCACAAAGCATGAATAACTAAACCCCCTCCCGCCCCACCCATGGCGCTCGAGCAGACGTCCCGTACCCGAGGAGGTGAGCACGGACGCTGCCCCTCGCGCTTCCAGCGGGGGGGAGGTCCCAGTCGCCACTCGGCTCCCTGAGGCTCGCCGCCCCGGCTCTCCCCAGTCGTCGCTCGTTGCCCGCCGCTGCCCCCTCCGCCACCACACCGCCTCTGCAGCTGGGATCTTCCAATCGGCAAAGTCTCGCATCACGCCGGGGACCGCGTCGGGTGGCGTGGTCCCCACATCTTGCGCCTCTTCGATTGAAGCGACGGTAAAAGGCCCCGGCGGTGCAGGCGGCTCCTGGCTTGACAGCTTGCGGCCCAGCAGCGACGGCGAGTCCGCGTCAGTCTCCGCGGAGGCCGGGTCAGGCGAGGTCGGTGTTGCCGCCTGGAGCGACCCGTGGTGCAGAGGCCCCAACAACCCCGTGTGTCCGCACGCCCTGGGGGGCTTGCGTCCACAACGGCTGAGAACAGAAGTTACTAATCGGCTGCGTTGGGTGGTGGCGAGTTAACGATACATTTATATTTATGCGATCTAACCCAAAATAACCTTGATTATGTTCCTACCCAGGCTTGCCAGGAGGCCGCACACCAAAGTTTTGGACTCCACCTGTTACATCTGTATGGGATAGTGTTTCTCCCTCGCATGCGGGGGATCTCTCCAGATGCTCCAGTTTCCACTCACAGGTAAACGCTCATTAAACCTTTCCCATTTAATCGATTCCAAACGGAATCCATGGTAAAAGGCCATGTGGTAGGGGCATGTGGCACAGTTTGGCGCCAGCTATAGTAGAGTGCGGCAGTGGTGCCGCTACCACTGGCGGAGCCAGTTGGGGGGGGTGGGGTGGTTTATTAGTAACTAGCGGTAAGTACCCGGCGTTGCCCAGGCGAAAAAGACAGACACACACATCGACTTGCACACACTTTCAATGTACATGAGTTTAGCGTAAGAAGCAAGGAACAGCAATATTGATTGTCCGCACATCAACATTATGATTGTAATATTTGGCAGGTGATTATTTAAGAAAAAGGTTTCTATCAACGTGATTTGACACAATAACAAACATATCAACGCAGAGCAAGTTATTAATAAATTATTAGTTGTGGGCACACAAACGAAAATGTGAATTCTAGATTTGAAGCTTTCGTGACTGCAAGGATTCATACTCTTAGTTTGTTCGGTAAAGTCACTTAGGTAAAAAATTTAAATAAAAATTAAATAATAATAAATCACGACGTTTCGGAGGCAACACAAATCTCCGTCATCAGGTGGGACTGTCACAGTCAGATTTGCTGTATCAAGTGAGGCAGGGATTCCAAGATACAAGTTCTTAAATACAGTACATAAAATCCGTGATCTAATTCCATCTGTGAAGGATGTCATCCCTGACTTGCAATACCCTGGAGTCTATAAACTGAGTTGCAGCTGTGGTGATTGTTACATTGGGGAAACGAAACGTCATGTCTCTGATCGTGTACGCGAGCACAAGTCAGATTTGAAACACGGCAAAATTGAGTCTTCCGCCGTTGCCGATCATTGCTACAACGCAGTGGGCTCTCATGATATTGTTTTCTCCGAGACCAAGGTGCTCTGCTAACCCTCTGGCTACCATCAAAGGTTTGTACACGAAGCCATTCAGATATACAAACACAGACATCATTTCAACCGTGATGATGGGTACAAACTTAGTAATCATTGGAAAGATGTTATTAACCATGCAAAAAAGATTTAACTACACATTTTTGGACCATCGTATCTGACAGGCACTATTTTACTTTACCGAGTGTTAACATCCCCAGCGTTTAACAGTACTCTCCTTTTTCGTATTTGATTTTCAGCCAACACTGGTAAAAAAAAAAAAGAGCATTTTCGTTCTCTTCTATCATGTGCACCAACAGGTACTTGTGCACAAACAGGTCCATGTACACGTACTCCCTGTCCTCTCTTTTAGCCACCCCCACCCTTCTAATACGTTATCATGTACAACAACAGGGGCTTGCACACAAACACGTCCACGTCGACGTCTACGCACATCTCTTTTAGCCCCGTCCCCCCCCTCCCAATACGTTCCATTCATTGGCTACCACATTCTGATAAGCTCCCCCCCCCTCCCCCTTAACTTGTATTTAAGAACTTGCATCTTGGAATCCCTGCCTCACTTGATACAGCAAATCTGGCTGTGATGGTCCCACCTGATGACGGAGACTTGTGCTGCCTCCGAAACGTCGTGATTTTTTTATTATTTTATTTATTATTTTTTATTTAAATTTTTTACCTACGTGACTTTACCGAAAATGTAAATATTTGCAAGTTGATTATTAAAAGACCAGGTTAATGTCTACATGAGTTGAGCAAAAGAAGCAAGGTATTGGAAAATTAGTTGTCTACACACAAACATTAATAATGTACATTCATTGTGTCTTTCGTTAAAGTCACGTAGATAGAAAAATAATGAAAAGTGTAAAAAATATCACACAATACCATACAAGAACAACAACCGCCATTCGGCACTAAGTGGCGGTGACGTCACCACAACGCTTGTGGCAGGCTATGTGCACCTTGAGGCCACGTGAAGTGTTGAACGCATGCTGGCAGGAGGTGACGGGGCAGACCCAGATGCGACAGGTCGATTGACTGAGACGAATGGCTGATGCACCACCTGTGCCCCCTACTGTGCCAACTTTCTGTGCTTTAGTCACCCGGCGCTCTGCCCGTTGTTGTGAGCGTCGCTCCTCCGCCCTCCGTTGTTGTTGGAGAACAACTGGCTCCAACTAGCAGTAGCGGTCCTTAACGGGCCTCCTCCACAGAGGCCGATCTTGACAGCACTGGTAGCAGTCATCGGCAAGTCCACTCAGCTTCACATCCTCCTGTACCACATCACTCCATCTCTTCTGTAGCCCGTGCCGTGCCCGTTTAGCCCCCACGATCCGGCCGAACAAAAGCTGTTTAGGCATGCGGTGGCTGAGCATGCGGGCTACATGGCCCAGCCAACGCAGCCTTGCCTGCCGGAGGAGCTTACCGATGGGACTTTGGCCACATCATTAAAGGATTTGTGAGCTCCTCACACAATCCAGCCTGATTAGACCCAGGATGGATCATAGGCAGGCCAGCCTAAATGTTTCTAACCGATGAAGATGTTCCATGTGGCCGAGAAGACCTGAAGCTTCGTGCGGAGCGACAGACCAGGTAGCTTCCACACAGCGCTATGCAACCGATGAAAAGACAATGCCGCTCGACTGATTCGGAGTGAGAACTGTTAAACCGGAGCCGGTCATGAGCACACTGCGCAGGTATGGGCAACTCTCCACTCTCTCCACAACTGCCCCATCAGCAATTTGGAGTTTGTGGCGGTGGAGTGTCCGATGGTACAAAATACCCAAGCAGGTGCTTAGTTTTGGTGGGGCTGATGGCAAGGTCCCACCTCTAAGTGGCAAGCTCCAGGTTCAGCAGCAGCGCCTCCAACTCCTCGTCTGAGTGAGCAGCAATTACCAGATCATCGGCATACATAACATGGTTGAGCAATAGGAAGCCATCCCTCGACCGCACCCGGGCATCGATCAGCCTCCCATTGTATCTGTACCAGATGGAAATTCCTCCGGTAGAGCTATTGAAGGCTTCACGAACTACGTGGTAAAATAGATGTAAAATAATGTGGGAGCCAGAGAACATCCCTGTCGCACCCCAAGGTGTACAGGGGATAGCTCCGACTCCTGGCCACGTAGTTTTAGCCGGGCCCGCTCACCATCATGAAGGTCCTTAATGATCGTGAGCAGAGGGAGAGGGACTCCGAAAGCACGCAGAACAACCCAGAGGTCAGGCCTACTGATGGTATAATAGGCATTGACCAGGTCAAACACATTCCTGCAGAGGGAGCTGGTAGGAACGTTGGGTTGCTCGGTCAATGGCCAGGGTCAACGGCGGCGTGGTGTATTCCGCAAATATGGCTGACTGTGAGGGTGGGCACAAGCCGGCGTGAGTAGGTTATAAGGGCATCACGGGGTGACCAGCCCCTCCCCACCCAGCCCCACCCCTCCCACCCCCCACCCAGCCTCACCCTCCCCACCCAGCCCCTCCCCACCCTCCCCTCTCCACCCAGCCCCACCCCTCCCATTTTTGGATGCACGATGGACGGGCGAACGGACACAATAATCCCCTGTGGGCTGGTGTAACCAGGAGGTTGCTACCAGTATAAAGCAGAGATATAGGTCTTGTTGGAATTCCCTACACCTCAGCTGTAGCAGACAGACAGAAAGTATGGCATCTGTGCAGAAACGCCCTTTCCTAAAACCGCAATAAAACCGCACAATACAATACACACCATGCTATACACACAATACGATACACACCATGCTATACACACAAGACTGTAGACACAATACCACACACACCATGCTATAGACACAATAGCATAGACACAATAGCATACACACCATGCTATGCACACAACAGCAAACACACAATAGCAAACACAATACTGTAAACACCCGACTATACACACCATGGTATAGACACAATAGCATACATAGAATGGTACACAAACAATACCAAACACACAACACTGTGTATGGTATTCTGTGCTTGGTATTGTGTGTATGGTATCATGTGTATAGCATGGTGTCTATGGTATTATGTGTATACCATTGTGTGTATGGTATTGTGTGTATGGTGTTGTGTGTATGGTGTTGTGTGTATGGTGTTGTGTGTATGGTGTTGTGTGTATGGTGTTGTGTGTATAGTGCGGTGTGTATGGTGTTGTGTGGATGGTCGTGTGTGTATAGTATGGTGTGTATGGTATTGTGTGTATAGTACGGTGTGTATGGTGTTGTGTGCATACCATTGTGTGTATGGTATTGTGTGGATGGTCGTGCGTGTGTGTATAGTACTGTGTATGGTATTGTGTGGATGGTCGTGTGTGTGCATAGCATGGTGTGTATGGTATTGTGTGTATGATGTTGTGTGTATAGTACGGTGTGTATAGTACGGTGTGTATGGTATTGTGTGTATGGTACGGTGTGTATGGTGTTGTGTGCATACCATGGTGTGTATGGTATTGTGTGGATGGTCGTGCGTGTGTGTATAATACGGTGTGTATGGTATTGTGTGGATGGTCGTGTGTGTGCATAGCATGGTGTGTATGGTATTGTGTGTATGATGTTGTGTGTATAGTACGGTGTGTATGGTATTGTGTGTATGGTACGGTGTGTATGGTGTTGTGTGCATACCATGGTGTGTATGGTATTGTGTGGATGGTCGTGTGTGTGTATAGTACGGTGTGTATGGTATTGTGTGTATGGTGTTGTGTGTATAGTACGGTGTGTATGGTATTGTGTATGGTATTGTGTGTATAGTGCGGTGTGTATGGTATTGTGTGTATGGGGTTGTGTGCATGGTATTGTGTGTATAGTACGGTGTGTATGGTATTGTGTGTATAGCACGGTGTGTATGGCATTGTGTACAGTAAAACCTTGGATTGCGAGCATAATTCGTTCCGGAAACGTGTTCGTAATCCAAAGCACTCGTATATCAAAGCGAATTTCCCCATAAGAAATAATGCAAATGATTCGTTCCACAAACCAAAAATACTGTATTCATATAAAAGTTATTAATACAAAATACCTTTTTCAATTTTTATTATTTAAATTAAATAAACAAATCAACTAACAAGAGCATTGAAACTGCCCAAGTAATTAAAACGATCAAAATACCGTACATTGCGGGAGTAACTGATAAACTAGCCAGATGTTTGGAAAAACAAAACATCCGAGTCAGATTTGGCACGGTACATAAAATACAGAATCTAATATCTGGTACAAAATATGTATTACCGAAGCTATCAATAGAAGGTGTGTACAGGATTAACTGCACGTGTGGTAAATGTTATGTTGGGCAAACAGGACAAATGATCAGCACGAGACTAAAAGATCAGAGAAATATTACATTCTCCCAAATGCAACTGTCAGCAATAGCAGAACACGCATGCCAACAAGGTCACTCAATTGATTTTGATAATATTTTGTGCAAAACTAGCTACTACTGGCCAAGACTTTTTAGAGAATCTATCAAAATTGAAATAAATTAAAATAGCGTTAACCGTTCGGATAGCTACTGTTTTAGTGCTGCGTGTAAGAGATCGTCAGCTAATAAATTATTTAAATGCATGTCTACAAAGGGCAGTGTACTGCAATAGTGATTACCGTTGGTAGGGCTATTTGAATAAACACAATAGACAGGAAGGACAAGTTCAAAGGGCTCGCACATAATGCACATGCATAATGTACGTTGCCTCCGGAATTCCCCCCCCAAGAGCGCAGAAGGGTGGTCAACACATCTACGCCTCTATACAAGTGTAATGTGAGGATATATCCGTCTCACTGACGTATCACAACTCGTCATGATGATTGGCTCTGCCGGTTCTGGTCCATAGCCAATGAGGGGGAAGCCTAGGGGCGTGGCCCTGACGTAATGGAAAGGTGACAGCTGTAAGGAGAGGATTGGTTCTGCTGGCTTTGGCTACAGCCAATGGGGAGATGAGTCAGGGGCGTGGTCCCGGGAGCCTACGAGGGAGTCTGCAATATTCCATAGAGCCTAACCAGGATAGGTGGTAACGTACCACGTGACCCGGGTATTAAATAGGGGTGGAGACGAACAACACGTGGTCATAACTGGAACGAACGGAGGAGGAGGCCACGCGAGAGCGGGGCTCCAAGTTGCCACGTGGCTGCACGTCTCTCGCTCTCTATCCCTTTCACACTGCCGGTCAGCAGCGTGAAGGAGAGCTGTAATGAAAAGTGAATAAAAGACCGGATTCCAAAAGTCGCCTCAACGACCTTTATTACATAAGGAACGAAACAACAGTAAGACTTCTCCACAAATCTGGCTGTCGCCTGATGAAGCTAGTTGTAATTACTGGCGAAACGTCGTACTCAGTTTGTAAATGTTGTGGCTTGGCTCTCCAACACACCGGTGTGCTGTACTAGTGACGAATTGGTATGTTTTGTTTATGTGACAACCCTTACTAGTTGGCTGTGTCGGGTGGTGGCGGGTTTTAACGACACATTGATATATTTACGCGATCTAACCCAAAAACCTCTATTATGGATTCGTTCGTTCATTTCTCAGTCCACTTGTCCTGGTGAGGGTCGCGGCGCCAACATGTTGACTCGTGGCGGTCCAGACCTCCCTTTCTCTACCGATGGACTCTTCCTGCGGGAATTCTCAGGCGTTCCCAGGCCAACTGAGCGACATAGTCCCCCGCCAGTGTGATATTCATTTGCGTGGATAAAATTTGTTTGATTAAGACGCGACCGACGTTCTTTCTCAGGGGCAAACTCAAAGGTAAGTCCGTCAACGCGGAACGGATGCCGGTGCATTCGCAAAATTGCCAACTCGGCGTAACTTACGGTGTGAAGATGAAGCGTGTCTCCGGTGCGCGTGCTGGGGGACCGTCATCACCCAGCTCGGAAGGCAATGGCGTGGTGCAGACGTCCGGGGTGCTTGGGCCCCATGGGGGGGATGGCCCGGTACCTCGTGCCGGCGGTAGTGGTGATTTGGTAGCCGTGCCGACGCCACTCACGCGGCGCTGCAAAGACGACGCCATGACAAGTCGCACGGCTCAGATAGTCACTCGGGAATGCCGCAGAATCTCCAGAACTAGCACCGACATTACTAATGAACCGTGACACTTCGCCGATATCGTCGAGGAGCGTAAAACCATCATGGAAACTCTGATCATCCTCGCAGCAGCAGCAGGAGCGGCTTTTGTCTGGCCATCGAACAAATTGGTCACCGCATCGTGCACTTTCGGACGCGCTTCTCCGGGCCGTCTGGAACGCTTTTCCTTCTGATATTAGGAAGCCACTGGAAGATATGCACTTTTAAATCATCATCTAGATTGAAAACTTTTTTATTCAGAACTGCTTTTTGTGTTTAGTTTGTTGTCCTTCCTCTGCACCTCCGATTAGCACAGCTGGCTACGTATGGTGCGAAAGAAGTTCAACATACAGTACATAAATACATACAATTGGAATCAACCTTCCTGTTAACTATTTTTATTCAGACGTACACGATTGTGTATCGGGCACCTCAACGTTTGGGTTAAGCGACGTAATGATCTGGCAAAATGTATTGCTGTCAAGCCCTCCACCACCAACCACTACATATCCAAATGAAATTGTCAGGTGCGCAAGCGTTTAACGAAGCGCTAATGATTATATTTGTGTCTCGCTGGTAGATTGTCTGCGCCTAAGTGAAAGAACAATGCTCACGATAAAATGCAGAAATTTTACACGACGTTTCACTTAAAACCGCGCAAAGCAATAGGGTTTCAAGACATACATTTGGTCATGAAAATCTATGCATCAAGTTACTTCACTCAACGGTTTGCAATTGACGAGACATTTTTCAATGTCTTAACTAGGAAACAAATGCATCACAAATCATCGCCCCCTGCTGAGAAAACTTAGCAGGACCCTCTTCCTGAATAAGTGACTTGAGACTGAGTCAGGCTTTCCTGGGTAAAACAAATATTATAATAATCTACACAAACAGAGAAGAGTTGACCTGCAGATAAGAGCTATGCACTAAGTCCACCACAGTGGAGTTGGAGATGATTCCTGTCACCTTCACATCCGGTACATCCAGAGCCAGAGTGTCTGGAACAAAGATAAGCTCCTCCTTCTGCTGCCTCCTCTGGTGCTGCTGGCGCAGTGTTGCCATGGGATAATCTGGAACATCCCACATCACACCGGGCTTAAACATTAACTTGGGGTGCAGACATCACGTGCCCGAGCCTAAGCCCGTGCAGAGAGGAAAAAATTATCGCACGGAGAGCGCACAGCGATGTACACTGGTAATTATTCATGAGAGGCCGGAAGCGGAACATGTGGGTTCAGAGAACGAACGTTAATTAAGATACATCAATGTGACTTTAAATTTCGATTTAAAGCTTTCGTGACTGCAGGGATTCATCTTCTTGGTTCTTTCGGTAAAGTCACGTAGAAGGGAAGTAATAAAATAATAAAATAAAACATAATCAAATAATTCTCACGACGTTTCGGCCACAACGCAAGCAGTGTATAATAACAAATAGTATAAAATGTATATGCTTAATACAATGTACAAAGTAATATATAGTATCGTAATTGTATAGTGAATATACAGCAGTGTGATATACATTAGGGTGGGTAGAATAATACATAGTGTAATATTACAATGTATAAGGTGGTTTATAGCAATACAGTATATAATTTAATGTTGGGTTTGTCTATGGCAGTATATAGTACGGTGTAGACTCGTGTAGATGGAAGTATATTATATTTTTTACGACGTAGAATTGTAATGTATTACTTACTGTTAGTAACTCAGCTTATTGTAGAGTATATTTAGTATACTGATGATACTATGTAGTTTATACTTTAGTTGTTTACATGGTGGTTTTAGTTACTGCAGCTACATACTATTAACACTCCTTCCCTTTATTAATGCTACCCCTATCCCATCCCTTTGATGCTGCTAATCCTGCATAATGCACGGGCATAAGTAGTGCTAATCACATACCTGCATTTCCCATATCCCCTCCCTTTGATACTGCTAATCCTGCATAATGCACGGGCATAAGTAGTACTAATCACATACCTGCATTTCCCATATCCCCTCCCTTTGATGCTGATAATCCTGCATAATTTACGGGCATAAGTAGTACTAATCACATACCTGCATTTCCCATAAATATGCTAAATTCCTATTGATATGCAAATTATTTTGTCAAGACGCCCTTTCCCCCCCTTCCAACCCAGCTTATATATATGCTCCAAGCACGTGTGCTGTTTCATTCAGACGCTGTCGCCTCGACAGACCTGGTTTTCACCTGAGGACGACTGCTTGCGTTGTGGCCGAAACGTCGTGAGAATTATTTTATTATGTTTTATTTTTATTATTTTATTACTTCCCTTCTACATGACTTTACCGAAAGAACAAAGAAGATCAATGTGACTGTTTGGAAAAGTGGGGGCTTGAGTAGATGTCGCAAGAATGGATGACGGCTGACGTATGAGACTAGTGACGGAATGGCATCCAATGGAGGGAATACGCTCAGGAGGATGAGACCACACGAGGCGGACCGATGGATCGTGGCATCACGGGACGGCGAGCGATGGCAACGGTGTGTGGAAAGGCCTTCATCCAGCAGTGGAGAGACAGGCTCTTGACAACGACGATTGATCTGTTAAACGACGAGCGGAACTCACCGTGGCTCCGCTCCAGCGAGTGGTGGCGGTAGCGTACGCGCTTCCGCACAGGGCTGCCCTTGTTGAGTCGCAGGGCAGCAGTGCGGCCCAGCTGCTGTCCATCTCTGCCCCACATGCTGCCCTTGGAGCCTGCACCCTCGGCGTTGTCGTTGCCCTCGTCGTTGTTGATGTTACCCTCATTGTCACCGTGTCCCCCGGGCTCCTCTTGGATCGTGACCCCCGACTGCCTGCACATGCCCAGCCACCGCACTCGCTCAGCGAGAGAACTAAAAGCCGACCCCGCAGCCAAAAATGTCGTACAACAGCCAAGGCTACCGTAACTTGAATGGAGCAAGGGTAACGCTGTTTTCTTGAATCAGGATTTGTTTCCCCCTTTGTCGTCCCTTGACGTTATTTCAAAAACGTAGGCCATGTGTGCCTGCATCACGTTCCAACTCATTTGTTGAGAACTGCTTTATATGTTTAGTTTGTTTGTCCTTCCCCCGCACCTCCCGATTGGCTACGTACGGTGAAAAATAAGTTTAACATATGTACATACATTCAAGTGACCTCTAGTCCACACAGCAAATGGCAGCACTTTCCTACAAACCTTGCCACACAGGGTGATGTTCATCACATGATAATCAAGCCTATGTCTTTCTTTCATTCTCAGAGCTGGAATTCAGCAAAATTACATGTAGAACCAAATTTTATACGATGCGTTTTTGCAATGTGCAATCGATTATAACTTGCCCGACACAATCAACTCGCTACACATGAGAACCTGGCTTAATCACAGGCAGTTGCCTGGATTTAAACTATTTTTATTTTATCAGGTAAGGCCCACTGAGCTATATAGCGCTTTTTCAAAAGCCACCTGCCTATCACAAATGATAGATCAACGAAGTGGCTTATCACGTGGACATTTATAGAAGCTAAATACTCTAAACGCACGTTGATCTAAATGTGGAGGGAAAAACCGGAGGACCTAGCGAAAAATCCACGTGACCACGAGGAAAGAGACACGCAAACTCGAAATATACAGCAGGCAGGGTTGGGATCAAACCCACGACCTCCTGCATACCAGGTCGAGGTAGTTAACATCTCGCCACCGTAGCGAGATGAACCCAGGATCTCAGTAGGACCGGCTCAGCGTGCTGAGTTTGGGGCTAAGAGGCCCTTGCGTGGCCTAAACGGCCCCAGTGTGGCCTGTGGCTCTCACCACTGATGCTGCAGCTCCCGAATGGTCTCCTTCTGCCTTTTGAGCTGCTCTTTGAGACGCCGGTTTGAATCAAACACCTCTTCCAGCGTCAGTGCATCCCTGCCACAACACCCCAGCAGAAACCATAATTTTGTAAAGATTACGATTGCTTTTTTGTTCCCATTTTTCTTTCATTAAAAGAGACGATGATAGGTAATTCCAAATTGGAATTGTTTATTCATTTACTAGGTAAAGCCCACTGAACTGTGTAGTTCTTTTTCAGAAGCAACCTGGTCACAGATAGCTCAATGAAGTAGCTTATCCTGTGGAAATATATAACAGCCAAATACACGAACCACATGTTCATTCTAAATGTGGAGGGAAAATCGGAGGACCCGGATAAAAATCCTTGTGACCACGGGGGAGAACATGCAAACTCCAATATACAGCAGGCGTTAGTGTCGGGATCGAACCCACAAACTCCTACATACCAGATGAGGGAGTTAATATCTCGCCACCTGAGTGTGAGGGAAGAAGCAGAAATATTGGTGTGATTTACAGTGTTGGGGGTGGCTGGGCGAGTGTGTAAATGGGTGGTTGACTGGTTGAGTGAGTGGGTGAGTGAGTCGTTATGCGAGTCGTTGAGCGAGTGAGTGTTGTGACCTGCAGCGTGGTGGTTGAAGACTGTGGTCGAGACAAAACAGTCTACCTGATAATCCAAGTACTGTAAAACCTTAGATTGCGAGCATAATTAGTTCCAGAAACGTGTTTGTAATTCAAAGCACTCGTATATCAAAGCGAATTTCCCCATAAGAAATAATGGAAACTCAGATGATTCGTTCCACAACCCAAAAATATTCATGTAAAAATTATTAATACAAAATACCTTTTCATATTTTTATTATTTAAATTTAATATAAAGTAATCAAATTTATTAATTAAATTTAATTGTGGCTGGTGTGAGGGAGATGAGAGAGAAGAGAGGAGGAGGGTTATTGTGTTGGACGACTTTCACCGTCACTAACGGAATCACTACCATGTGTTGGCTCACTGGAATCTTTTTGTTTTTGTGCGACTTTAACAAGGAACCTAACCTCCTTTTGAAGATTTCGTGGAAATGTGACATTGCATTGTCGTTAAACAGATTCATCGCTCGCACTGCTACAGCCTTATTCAGGTGGTGCTTTTCTATGGATGTTGACTATACGAGTGAGGCACGCCGACTGAGACCGAGCATGGGAGACGATTACCCACAATCCCGCAGCGAGAGAGATAAGAACCATCGGCTCAGTTGTGATCACGTGACGCTCGGCAGACAAAGCGTATACGTAGTACTCGTATTGCAAGACCTCGCTCGTTTATCAAGTTAAAATTTTTTTCAAAATTTGCTCGTCTTGCAAAACACTCGCAGACCAAGTTACTCGCAATCCAAGGTTTTACTGTAATTGGTTCCTTTACCGATTATCGGTTCCATTACTCAACTAGTCGGATAAAATGAGAATAGTTATGGTAAAAAAAAGGGAGATGTAGAATCACATGACACTGGGCTGTCCTTTATTTCCTTTCAAAAAATGTGTATTTTGCAGGGGGAGTGGAAGTAGGGGGGAGGGGGACACCGCCTCAACTGACTTATTCCGTGTATTACTGTTTTTTTTACCAAACCTCATCCCGTTAATATCATAAACAAAAATTTCCGTGCCAAAATCGAGGCCTTTACGAAAAAATTAGCGTTTCTCAACTCACAGGCAGCGCTCCTGCTTGAGCTTGTTGATCTTGTCGAGCAGGGCTGAAGGGGATGGGAAAAGAGAAGGGAGAGAACCACACTGGCTGCTGTTATGCCCTGTAAAAGTACAACCGTGATAACCGCTCACAAGACTAAAACGGACCACCAGGCTTGCTCGAAAACGGCGGCTTTGATGAGGATTTTATTGACGCAACAACCTGCTGCTCATATGCTCTGTTGTTCATTGATAATACTAACTTATATACCCCAGTAAAGCATCAGAAAACTACTTATTTCAGCAGGGTCCCTGCTATATTGACATGTTTGGTCAACACAAATGACATTGAATGTCAGAATAAGAATCCGAATATGAATTTGTTCTGGCGAAATCTGATGAGATATGAAGCTCTTTTTCACAATTGTCCAGTCATGGTGGGTCAGCAAGTTACAACAAACAACAGAGCAAACGATCGGACTGCAAATTATAGAAAAGAGATAAGCGAGGAAACTGGAGAATTTGGAGGAAACCCATGCAGAACAGGGGGAGAGAATATACCAACCCCACCAATACCCGCCATTCACCACTAAGTGACGGTGATGTCATCATGGCACTTGAGCCAGGCCAGGTGCACTTTGAGGCCATGTGAAGGGTCGAAGGCTCTCTGACAGGAGGTCGCAGGACAGCTGCCATGGGTTGACGAGAGGACTGGCAGATGCACCAGCTGTGCCCCCTACTTTTCCAAACTCCAAAAATCCCCCATGTACCCTTAACAGACTGTTGGGGCAAGTACTGTTAACGAGCACCTATGAAGGCTGGCACAGCACACGAGGGGGGTGGGTGGCCAGCACCACGCCCGGCCACCTTTGTTTCCCACAGTGGTGATGTTTTTACACACCGCACCAAGTACTAATTTGAGGTTGAGATGACCTAGGGGAGGACCAATTCAGATAATCCGTCACTGGTGTTGGCGGTGAGCAGGAATCGAACCCGAGTTTGTAGCACAGCGCGCTAACCGCGACACTACCGCTTACTACAAACTCCAACAACAACCACCATTCGCCACTAAGTGACGGTGACGTCACCACAGCGCTTGTGCCAGGCTAAGTGCACTTTAAGGCCACGTGAAGTGTCAAACGCCCGCTAGCAGGTCACGGGACAGACCCAGGTGCCATGGGTTGACTGAGATGCACAAACCCCACACACTCATACACACACACACAACAAACTCACACAACACTCACACTGTAAAATATGGGGATAATCTACAAACTTCTCGCAGAAAGGTGCCTGAGTTAGTAACTGAACCCAGGTTTTTCTTGCTATGAGGTACAAGTGTTACCACTGCATCACCCTGCCAACCATGGACCACCCTTCGCATGAAATGTGTCTGGTCTGCTCCAAACTCACCCTCAACTTTGCGGTTGTGAAACTCCTTCAGCTGTGACAGAATTCTGTGGAAGCCGATGTCACCGCTCTGCCCTGGGCTCCCACTCAATGCGGAGTTGCTGAGCAGAATTGCAGGTGGTCTTGGGGAAGGGGAGAGGCCCGAGACCCTCTCTGCCATGCTCAAGTCCTGCATTCATAAGTGTGGTTGGACATCACCTGTGAATGCAAGCTATGCAACTGTGAATAACGACAAGCACCATATAGATGCGTGTTTTGAAGACTATAAGAGCGAGGCCTTCGAGTCAGTTGATGACCAGGATATGTGGGCAATTATGGACAAGATAGGTTTCTCCAACTTTTGATGAAGATCCTGTTTAACAACCGAGACTTTGCAGGGAGAGTGGCAGTAAAGCTTTTACATTCGTCTTTTGAGTACAACAACGTACACTCCAATATTGATACTATGCTCTAGGGCAGTATTCTTCACAAATTTTCAGTGGGGGCCACTTTCGCCAATAGGACATCACCAGTGTGTGAGGGCCGCCACACATTTGAAACCATTGGGGTTTACAGCACGATGATGGGGAGAGGGGTGTTTTGACATGTTCTGTATTATCGGGGGCCGCACTAAAGGCTACCAGGGGCCGCACTAAAGACCACCAGGGGCCGCCAGCGGACAGCGGGCCTTGCAATGAAGGACACTGCAGTAGGGGATCAATTCAACATCACTTTGAAGACACGAATAATTAGGAGACATACTGAACAATCCTTTATGCTAACGTACAGGGCATGTGCACAAGAGACTTAGTATTTGACTGCAATGGTACGATGAACTACTATATACAATCATGATACTACCGTACTGAACTTTGTGTTACAAACGAGAAAAAACTTCAAAGTGAGAATGTTAGAAATTATTTCACAAACGTATAACTATGAGAGCAATTAAAATAGTTTTAGCTGTACGCATGACCAAACGCAGCCCCCTCAAATGCGTGACCACTGTGCGTGCGTTAGTTATTTTTGCGAACGCTTTACAACATCAAAGTCTATGAATGAGCTCAAGCCTCCTATAAATCACGTGGTTCGCTGCCCCCCCCCCCCACTCTTGACTCCCTCCGTGCAGCTCACTTCTGCTCGCTCCTTCTCTCTTCCCCCTCTCTTCTTTCCCCTATCATCATCCCTCCGTGGTCGCGATGATTTTTTCGCCGGGACCTCCCGTTTCCCCCCCTCCGCATTTAGTATCAACATCACGCGTTTAGAGTGTTTGGCTGCTATACATTTGCGCATGATAAGCCACTTCGTTGGGCTATCATTTGTGATAGAAAGAGTTAAATAGGTCAGTGGGGCCTTCTTACCTGGTAAAATCAAATTGGTTAGTTTTTCGTTTTCATCTTTCTTCATGCTGCTCATCTTGAGTCGTGCTCTCAATGATTGCTTGTCTCAGGAACTCCCGTCCCGGCCTTCTGTCCCTTTCTCAGTAATCTTTTTTATCCAACATTTTTTTTACCAGGTAAGGTCGACTGAGCTATTCGCTATGTTTCAGAAGCGACTGGCCACAAATGATAGGTCAATGAAGCGGATCAACACGTGGAAATGTACAGCAGCCAAATACTCTCTAAACACGTGATGTTGATGATAAATGTGGAGGGGAACACCGGAGGACTTGGAGAAAAATCCAGGTGACCACGGGGAGAGACACCGCAAACTCCAAATATTCAGTAGCAGGCATCGTCAGAGTCGGTGTCGAACCCACGACCTCCTGCATACCAGGCGAGGGAGTTAACATGTTCCAGCCACCGCGGCGCTTCTCACTGCCGTCTCCTCTGGCTACCCTTGTACAGAAGTGACTCAACTCTGCCCGTCCCGTGGTGGTGTTGATGCAAAGGGCAAAATGTTTGCATAACAATCTCCTAAAAACTGTTGATCGGGAAAAATGTTTAAACCTTAATTCTCATTACCCCCATTGCGTACACAATTGCAGTCTCCAAACTCGTATCACGTACTACTCGTCTCTACTGGCCTCTCTTTCTCTATTTCATAATCAGAATATGAATTTACACTGGAAGAATCCGATGAGCTATAAAGCTCTATTTCTACAGATTCCAAATAAGGGGCACGGGGTCAGAACGTTACAATACACAAAACCACGATACGAGTACAAAGTGTAGCAAAGGGTAAACAAATCACGTTAAAAAACTCATTTTCTCTGAAGAATACGGGGTAAAGCGTATGGGGTGTGACAATTATGGGATTGTGGCGACGCAGGCGAGGCCCGGTGGTGTAGGCCTCCCCCCACCTCCTTCAGCGTGAACGAACAACGCGGCTCCGTACCGTGGTCAGCCACTGCAGGGGACTCTCGCTCGCCGCGATCCGATAATCGATGTTAAACGATGTCGATCGAAGGTAAAACAAAATCCGACAGTTGAGCACAAATTTAAAACATCCCTCGCGTTCAACTCCCGCCTCGGGTTTGTCGGCTTCCGCGCTCTGACGTCACGCAAGGGCTTCCGCTCAATCCCCCCCCCCCCCCCCTTTTCGATTGCTGAATGGTGCGGCGGCCCCAGTCTTGCCATTACCAATCACCGGTTTAGGGGCCATCCATTTAGTAGGAACGCAAAAATCTGTCAAAACGTGACCCCCCCCCGAATCCTATAGAACGTCCGATATTTAATCCAGGCAGAAACGATGAATGATTAAGAATATTAACGCATTTAAGTGTTTAAGCAAACATAGTCCACCGCCGGTTGCATTAAATAAGCAAGAACATTTTTTAAAAGTGGCGGTTTTTTAGAAGAAAAAAACGCCACTTTTTTCAAATTTTCTTGTTGTGGTTTTCACACCTGATGATGATTGCTTGTGTTGCAATCGAAACGTCGTGATAATTTAATTGTTTTATATTTTTATTATTTTATATTTTATTGTTTCCCTGCAGTCACGAAAGCTTTAAATAAAAATGTGTCAAACATGTTTCAACACGAGTGGAATATTGCCGCGTACAGTAATTTCAACGCTTTTTTTTTGCTGGGCCATGCAATTGTTGCCCGGTCACACGCCCTCGTCACGTGGATGATTTGAGGGCGAAGGGTGAACGGGGGTGAGGAGTGACGTGGGTGGGTGAGGGGTGACGTGGGCGGTGTGGGGTTGCGTGGTGAGGGTATCACGTGGGTGGTTTGTTGTTGGGGGTGGGGTAGCGTGGTGAGGGTATCACGTGGGTGGTGTGCTGTTGGGGGTGGGTTGCGTGGTGAGGGTATCACGTGGATGGTGTGTTGTTGGGGGTGGGGTTGCGTGGTGATGGTATCACGTGGGTGGTGTGTTGTTGGGGGTGGGGTAGCGTGGTGAGGGTATCACGTGGGTGGTGTGTTGTTGGGGGTGGGGTTGCGTGGTGAGGTTATCACGTGGGTGGTGTGTTGTTGGGGGTGGGGTAGCGTGGTGATGGTATCACGTGGGTGGTGTGTTGTTGGGGGTGGGGTAGCGTGGTGAGGGTATCACGTGGGTGGTGTGTTGTTGGGGGTGGGGTTGCGTGGTGAGGTTATCACGTGGATGGTGTGTTGTTGGGGGTGGGGTTGCGTGGTGATGGTATCACGTGGGTGGTGTGTTGTTGGGGGTGGGGTAGCGTGGTGAGGGTATCACGTGGGTGGTGTGTTGTTGGGGGTGGGGTTGCGTGGTGAGGTTATCACGTGGGTGGTGTGTTGTTGGGGGTGGGGTAGCGTGGTGAGGGTATCACGTGGGTGGTGTGTTGTTGGGGGTGGGGTTGCGTGGTGAGGGTATCACGTGGGTGGTGTGTTGTTGGGGGTGGGGTAGCGTGGTGATGGTATCACGTGGGTGGTTTGTTGTTGGGGGTGGGGTTGCGTGGTGATGGTATCACGTGGGTGGTGTGTTGTTGGGGTGGGGTAGCGTGGTGAGGGTATCACGTGGATGGTGTGTTGTTGGGGGTGGGGTTGCGTGGTGAGGGTATCACGTGGGTGGTGTGTTGTTGGGGGTGGGGTAGCGTGGTGATGGTATCACGTGGGTGGTTTGTTGTTGGGGGTGGGGTTGCGTGGTGAGGGTATCACGTGGGTGGTGTGTTGTTGGGGGTGGGGTTGCGTGGTGATGGTATCACGTGGGTGGTGTGTTGTTGGGGGTGGGGTTGCGTGGTGATGGTATCACGTGGGTGGTGTGTTGTTGGGGGTGGGGTTGCGTGGTGAGGGTATCACGTGGGTGGTGTGTTGTTGGGGGTGGGGTAGCGTGGTGATGGTATCACGTGGGTGGTTTGTTGTTGGGGGTGGGGTTGCGTGGTGATGGTATCACGTGGGTGGTGTGTTGTTGGGGGTGGGGTAGCGTGGTGAGGGTATCACGTGGGTGGTGTGTTGTTGGGGGTGGGGTTGCGTGGTGAGGGTATCACGTGGGTGGTGTGTTGTTGGGGGTGGGGTTGCGTGGTGATGGTATCACGTGGGCGGTGTGTTGTTGGGGGTGGGGTTGCGTGGTGAGGGTATCACGTGGGTGGTGTGTTGTTGGGGGTGGGGTTGCGTGGTGAGGGTATCACGTGGGTGGTGTGTTGTTGGGGGTGGGATTGCGTGGTGAGGGTATCACGTGGGTGGTGTGTTGTTGGGGGTGGGGTTGCGTGGTGATGGTATCACGTGGGTGGTGTGTTGTTGGGGGTGGGGTTGCGTGGTGAGGGTATCACGTGGGTGGTGTGTTGTTGGGGGTGGGGTTGCGTGGTGATGGTATCACGTGGGTGGTGTGTTGTTGGGGGTGGGGTTGCGTGGTGATGATATCACGTGGGTGGTGTGTTGTTGGGGGTGGGGTTGCGTGGTGAGGGTATCACGTGGGCGGTGTGTTGTTGGGGGTGGGGTAGCGTGGTGAGGGTATCACGTGGGTGGTGTGTTGTTGGGGGTGGGGTTGCGTGGTGATGGTATCACGTGGGTGGTGTGTTGTTGGGGGTGGGGTTGCGTGGTGAGGGTATCACGTGGGTGGTGTGTTGTTGGGGGTGGGGTTGCGTGGTGAGGGTATCACATGGGTGGTGTGTTGTTGGGGGTGGGGTTGCGTGGTGATGGTATCACGTGGGTGGTGTGTTGTTGGGGGTGGGGTTGCGTGGTGATGGTATCACGTGGGTGGTGTGTTGTTGGGGGTGGGGTTGCGTGGTGAGGGTATCACGTGGGCGGTGTGTTGTTGGGGGTGGGGTTGCGTGGTGAGGGTATCACGTGGGTGGTGTGTTGTTGGGGGTGGGGTAGCGTGGTGATGGTATCACGTGGGTGGTGTGTTGTTGGGGGTGGGGTTGCGTGTCGAGGGTATCACGTGGGTGGTGTGTTGTTGGGGGTGGGGTTGCGTGGTGAGGGTATCACGTGGGTGGTGTGTTGTTGGGGGTGGGGTTGCGTGGTGAGGGTATCACGTGGGCGGTGTGGGGTTGCGTGGTGAGGGTATCATGTGGGTGGTGTGTTGTTGGGAGTGGGGATGCGTGGTGAGGGTATCACGTGGGCGGTGTGGGGTTGCGTGGTGATGGTATCACGTGGGTGGTGTGTTGTTGGGGGTGGGGTAGCGTGGTGAGGGTATCACGTGGGCGGTGTGGGGTTGCGTGGTGAGGGTATCATGTGGGTGGTGTGTTGTTGGGAGTGGGGTTGCGTGGTGAGGGTATCACGTGGGCGGTGTGGGGTTGCGTGGTGATGGTATCACGTGGGTGGTGTGTTGTTGGGAGTGGGGTTGCGTGGTGAGGGTATCACGTGGGCGGTGTGGGGTTGCGTGGTGATGGTATCACGTGGGTGGTGTGTTGTTGGGGGTGGGGTAGCGTGGTGATGGTATCACGTGGGTGGTGTGGTGTAGCGTGGTGATGGTATCACGTGGGTGGTGTGTTGTTGGGGGTGGGGTTGCGTGGTGAGGGTATCACGTGGGTGGTGTGTTGTTGGGGGTGGGGTTGCGTGGTGAGGGTATCACGTGGGTGGTGTGTTGTTGGGGGTGGGGTTGCGTGGTGAGGGTATCACGTGGGTGGTGTGTTGTTGGGGGTGGGGTTGCGTGGTGAGGGTATCACGTGGGTGGTGTGTTGTTGGGGGTGGGGTTGCGTGGTGATGGTATCACGTGGGTGGTGTGTTGTTGGGGGTGGGGTTGCGTGGTGATGGTATCACGTGGGCGGTGTGTTGTTGGGGGTGGGGTAGCGTGGTGAGGGTATCACGTGGGTGGTGTGTTGTTGGGGGTGGGGTTGCATGGTGATGGTATCACGTGGGCGGTGTGTTGTTGGGGGTGGGGTTGCGTGGTGAGGGTATCACGTGGGTGGTGTGTTGTTGGGGGTGGGGTTGCGTGGTGAAGGTATCACCTGGGCGGTGTGTTGTTGGGGGTGGGGTTGCGTGGTGATGGTATCACGTGGGCGGTGTGTTGTTGGGGGTGGGGTTGCGTGGTGAGGGTATCACGTGGGTGGTGTGTTGTTGGGGGTGGGGTTGCGTGGTGAAGGTATCACCTGGGCGGTGTGTTGTTGGGGGTGGGGTAGCGTGGTGATGGTATCACGTGGGTGGTGTGTTGTTGGGGGTGGGGTTGCGTGGTGAGGGTATCACGTGGGTGGTGTGTTTTTGGGGATGGGGTTGCGTGGTGAGGGTATCACGTGGGTGGTGTGTTGTTGGGGGTGGGTTTGCGTGGTGATGGTATCACGTGGGTGGTGTGGGGTTGCGTGGTGATGGTATCACGTGGGTGGTGTGTTGTTGGGGGTGGGGTTGCGTGGTGAGGGTATCACGTGGGTGGTGTGGGGTAGCGTGGTGATGGTATCACGTGGGTGGTGTGTTGTTGGGGGTGGGGTTGCGTGGTGAGGGTATCACGTGGGTGGTGTGTTGTTGGGGGTGGGGTTGCGTGGTGAGGGTATCACGTGGGTGGTGTGTTGTTGGGGGTGGGGTTGCGTGGTGAGGGTATCACGTGGGTGGTGTGTTGTTGGGGGTGGGGTTGCGTGGTGATGGTATCACGTGGGTGGTGTGTTGTTGGGGGTGGGGTTGCGTGGTGAGGGTATCACGTGGGTGGTGTGTTGTTGGGGGTGGGGTTGTGTGGTGATGGTATCACGTGGGTGGTGTGTTGTTGGGGGTGGGGTTGCGTGGTGATGGTATCACGTGGGTGGTGTGTTGTTGGGGGTGGGGTTGCGTGGTGAGGGTATCACGTGGGCGGTGTGTTGTTGGGGGTGGGGTAGCGTGGTGAGGGTATCACGTGGGTGGTGTGTTGTTGGGGGTGGGGTTGCGTGGTGATGGTATCACGTGGGTGGTGTGTTGTTGGGGGTGGGGTTGCGTGGTGAGGGTATCACGTGGGTGGTGTGTTGTTGGGGGTGGGGTAGCGTGGTGATGGTATCACGTGGGTGGTGTGTTGTTGGGGGTGGGGTTGCGTGGCGAGGGTATCACGTGGGTGGTGTGTTGTTGGGGGTGGGGTTGCGTGGTGAGGGTATCACCTGGGTGGTGTGTTGTTGGGGGTGGGGTTGCGTGGTGAGGGTATCACGTGGGCGGTGTGGGGTTGCGTGGTGAGGGTATCATGTGGGTGGTGTGTTG